TGTTCTACTTTTCAAAATTTCTTCAAGTTATTTTCTAATACATCTACTGAATGCTTAATTTTGGTGTCCTGTTTTTCCAATAGCTTTTGTTTTTGGATTGTTCATTTTTAAAAATAGCATCCTGATCCTATTTAATGGAAGCAGTATATTTGTTTCTGAGAATATCACAGCTTCTTTATGTTCATCTTTCATGTTGAAAGTTTCCTCAAATATCTAGTGATCCTTGGCTATCTGTGTATAGTGATTTCAAGTGACGGAAAGCTGTATAAGAATGAACAGGGCTTGGGGACTCTCAGTTTCACTGTAACAAATAATCGAGTGTCAAGCTGTTTTTTTTACTGCTAGTCTTTTTGGGTTGGGTGAGCAGGGCTGGGTATAAACTCCATTGCCAGATTCTGTAGCCAGGTGGAGAAATTGGACTGGAGGCTCCTAATGTTCAGAATACTCACATTCTGTCAATCATTTTGTCTTCCATATAGCACATCACTATCACTACCATCCTCCCCCTGTCCTCAGTTCTATTTGGTTTAATTTCTCCAGACAATAAGGCTTCAGTCATTTGCTAGAGAGACAGCTGCCTGCCTACAAAGGGAGAGCAAAGATAAATTTTCAAAAAATCCCCTGGTTTCAACTTTATTACTCCCACCTTCCAGGGTACCTTGTGCCTTTAAATCCTTGAGTCTTTTGGGGGTTCTGGAAGGCAAAGATAGGTGTTCCAAATTTGTGAACCTTTTCTGTGATGAAAAATGGTTGTCATAACTCTGCTACCTATGATATACTTGCCCTTCATGGTAAAGAAGAGTGAGAAAGTAACTGCTTGAAACACACAGAGATGGCTGGGCCTGGTGGCTCATGCCTGTAATCCCAGCACTTTGCGAGGCTGAGGCGGGCGGATCATGAGGTCAGGAGATCGAGACCATCCTGGCCAACACGGTAAAACCATCTCTACTAAAATACAAAAAATTAGCCGGGCATGGTGGTGCACACCTGTAGTCCCAGCTACTCGGGAGGCCGAGGCAGGGAAATTGCTTGAACACAGGAGGTGGAGATTGCAGTGAGCTGAGATCGCACCACTGCACTCCAGCCTGGTGACAGAGTGAGTCTCCATTTCACAACCACCACCAACCACAAACCCAAACTACCTGCTGTTGAGACAGCATTTAAAAAATTTGTGTCTGCAAATATTGTAATGGTTATGTGGTTATTTTAGCTAAATACCACATGTCTCCTATAAAAAGTCTCCTATCTGCAATTGGGCCTCCTCTTCTGACACTCAACAACAGTTCTAAGAAATAAATATATAAGAAATACAACTTGGGTCAACTATGTGTGAGCCTTCCTCACCCCCAGTCCCTTATTATTAAATATTATTTTAGAGATGGGCACTTGCTCTGGTGCCCATGTTTCTGTGCAGTGGCATGATCATAACCCACTGCAACCTCAAACTCCTCAGCTCAAGCAATCCTCCCAATTTAGCTTCCTGAGTAGCTGGGACTACGGGTGTGCACGAGCACTGCTCCTGGCTACTAGTCAATTACTTAGACATAAGAAAACAATACATACTGGAAAGAGTCAAGACAGTTCCTGGGAACAACTATATAGACTGAAACCCAAGCTTAATCCATGCCACTATCGTCCTTATAGGGTTGCAGATAAAATGCAGGAAACTAAATTCAAATTTCAGGTAAATAACATAACTTTTTTTCTGGTATATGTGCCATATTTCATTATTTATCTGAAATTCAATTGTATTTGGGTGTCCTGTATTTCTGTTTGCTAAATCTGGCAACCCAACCCATTTCAAGAAACATGTCCCAAGTAGGATGTGACCAACATAGAAAAACTGCATTCAAAGAAGGAAACTGGGGTCTGGACCTTTCAAGGCATGGGAGTCTACTTAAGTACCAAATAGGTAGACAGGGACCAACATCATATAACACGCTTTGCAGTAAGTCTATAAGGAATGCATTGGCTGTGGCCAACATTAATGTCAGCCTTCAATTGATTCAGAGATTAGAATTCTTCCGGTAGTGGCTGCACCCTTCTTTCACCAGAGCTCTGCCACTCTATCAGGACATTCTGGTTACTCAAGGTGCAACCATAAAGCCCATCTAGGGTCTTTTTTGATGGAAGATGGCCATACCCTTGGGCTGTTCCACTTGTTTGGGTATCTCTCAAAGGAAGTTGCACCTACTGGTCCATTGCTTAATTTATTGTAAACCAAAACCATCAGCTGTTACACTGGAGTGTCAGGTCCCACAGCTGATACCACAGATGGAAGGGTGATATTAGGCACAGGCGAGCAGTTAACCCAAACTTAACAATTTCCCCCCAAATAAAACTACAGTACCAGCTCCTTGTTAACTGCAACACTCATTTTAGGAGCTTCATCTGGTTTGTTGCTAATTTGATAAACTAGCTTGGTTGCTGTGTATACTAGGAAGTTAGTTTTAATTTTGTTAGGCTAACCAGTATCCTGAGTCCCTTCTGAAAGATTATTGTTGTATACAGCCTAACTCCCCTAATGATCCCAGGAATTTTCATATCATGTGTCATGTCAGAATCATGTTTTCCCAAATAAACTGCCCAAATTCCAGTCAAATTCCTGTTTTATGATTCAACTTGAAACTGCTGTTAACATTTTTAACTGCCTCCATAGTTTAGAAGCAATAACCCTATAGCTGTCTTCCTGTTACACTGTTATACTCCATTTTTTTTTTTTTAACCAGGTACCAGTGTAACACCAACACTCTGGGAGGCTGAGGTGGGAGGATCGCTTGAGCTCAGGAGTTCCTGACCAGCCTGAGTGAAACTGCGTCTACAAAGAAATACAAAAATTGGCCTGTGTGGTGGTGTGCACCTGTAGTCCACAGCTACCAATGAAGTTAAGGTGGATCGCTTGAGCCTGGGAGGTCGAGGCTGTGGTGAGCCAAGATCACGCCCCTGCACTCCAGCTTAGGCAAGAGTGAAACCCTGTGTCAAAAAAATAAAAAATGAAAACCAGGCATTCATTTTCCACATCTCATTGAGAAGAGCTGGTCATAGCTCTCACAGAAAATGGGAAGCCAGCCAGTGTCAGGTCACTGTGGTATATCCTCATCCTTTCCATTGCTTGGTCTCAGTTGCGAACTTTTATAATAAGTCTCACTGCTGCTGCTAATTGAAAGGAAGAGCTTGGCAAACTGCATGATTAGCAGACTCAAATATGTAGTCATTAACTCAACTTTATTTAAAATTATTTGAGACACAGCGTAGAGATTTTTCTTTTAGCAGTAACTCCCTCAGTTCAATAGATATCACTGGTGGACAGGTATGTTACCAGCTTGCAGTTATCTCATGAAGTCTGCGAAGCTATCCAGATTTCTTAGGCTGTTCTATATATCCTAGCTACCTGAGCAAAACACTTTTGGCCCTGATCTTTGTGCCACTGCCTTGTGATTAGCAGATATAATTTAAATCTGTGTACAAAGTATCTATATATTTTCTCCATTTCCTTGGTTGAGTATCTTTGTGGGGGTTTAATTGAAGTGTGTCCTCCACATGAATCTTCATTACATGTGGATGGCTGCACCACTCAATTCTTTTACGATTCTCCACTATAAGTTATTTTCAATATGTGAAGGGCCAACATATGGATTAGGGTTTAGGTTTATTTAGTATGACCCTAGATAGCAGAAATGGCTTGGGGTAATATATAGGTTCATATATTTTAAAACTAATTTCCTATGTGTAGTAATCTTATTTAGTTTTGCATTCCCAGTGTCTGTACTAGAGTAGGCACTTCTCCATAGCAATATTGGATGAATGGCTAAATTTCTAACAAGAGATATTTAAAACTAACAGTCTGCTCCAAAAGACATGTTCTCTAACACTGGAGCCAAAAGTAGAAAGCCAGATGCAAGCCAACTTACGCGTAAGAAAACAACCCAGGTGACTTCTAAAGTCTTTAAATGCTTTAGCTATTTACACTAATATCAAAACATTTTCATCAGACTTTTAAAAAATTTTTATATGGACAGGTGTGACAGAAGGCCCAGCAGGAAGGGCTTCTATCCCCCAGAGGAGACATAACATATGCCCTCCTGCCATGCATGTATGGATTTTTTCCTTTGCTTAGGAAGCAGATGGGATTAAAAGACCTGATTATGGTCTTTGAGGCTCAAGGTATCTGGACTGTTTTACTAAAAATGTTGCCTATGGCTAGGCGCGGTGGCTCACACCTGTAATCCCAGCACTTTGGGAGGCTGAGGCAGGTAGATCACCTGAAGTTAGGAGTTAGAGACCAGCTTGACCAATTGAGAAACCCTGTCTTTACCAAAAATACAAAATTAGCCGGGTATGGTGACACATGCCTATAATCCCAGCTACTTGGGAAGCTGAGAAGAATTGCTTGAACCCGGGAGGTGGAGGTTATGGTGAGCCAAGATTGCGCCATTGCACTCCAGCCTGGGCAGCAAGAGCAAAACTGTCTCAAAAAAAAAAAAAGAAAAAAAAAAAGAAAAAAAAAAAAGTTGCCTATCTGCACCGAGAAAGTAAAAGACAGTTAACATCCACTGGTTTAGAAATAGTTTCCTTACTCCTTTGATAAATATTTCTATAGAGAGAGGATAAATTCAACTTTTTATCCTAATTATGGTGACTGCATTTAACCAGAAGCCAACATAGTGAGTGCAAAGGTAGTAAATTCATTTCCAAACCCAGTGTTTATGCCACACAAAAAGTTAACTTAAGGCTTATTTAGGTACCTGTTATTTTGTGCAACCTGGAATTACTTAAAATATATAAACAAATAAGCTCACTTTGAATCTTGACTGAGTATCAGACATTTTCTTCTTCAAGTGCATTTCTTCTCTAGAGACGTCAAGTCATCTCCTGTCAGACATACTATATAGATTCAGGTACTGTGTCTATTAACTCTATTCAGTACTTAGTGAATGTTGAATATGTCTTAAGCAAAGTAGGATCTATTTCATTTGTTGAGGACAAATGACCATACGCTGTTCAACATGTACAAAGCTATTGGTTTATTCAGCTGCCAAGCTGGGGAAAGGCTTCCTTTCGAAGTGAAGAGCAAAAATGCATTCATGAGCAAGGCACTTTTATACACACACCAAGAGAGAAAAAAGAACATATTATGAACACATAAACATCAACATATTTTAATATTCAGACCTCTTGCCTACCTCCTCCCACCTCCCCTTAAACAAAACAAAACAAAACAAAAAAAAAAGGAGAGAGTTTCCTGTAACATTTTTGAAACCAGTTTCACAGAATATCTACATAGGAACAATTTCTGATACATTCGGTTACACTAACAATATGATATGGTTTCAGGTCAATACTTTCCACTAACAAATACTTTTATTTACAATTTCCTCTTTTTTCCCTTTAGACAACTAAGGCTCAGCAGAAATATTCATTAGGTTATAAGCATTCTTCTCTCTTCTTAAAATTGCTATATATTTACACAATTTATGATTCCTAACTGCCTTTTTTTTTTTTTTGAGACGGTGTCTTGCTGTTGCCCAGGCTAGAGTGCAGTGGCGCGATCTCGGCTCACTGCAACCTCCACCTCCCAGGTTCAAGCAATTCTCCTGCCTCAGCCTCCCAAGTAGCTATTGATTACAGGTGCATGCCACTACGCCCGGCTAATTTTTGTATTTTTAGTAGAGATGGGTTTTCACCATGTTGGCCAGGCTGGTCACGAACTCCTGATCTCAAGTGACCCACCTGCCTCAGCCTCCCAAAGTGTTGGGATTACAGGCGTGAGCCACTGTGCCTGGCCTGCTTCAATTTTTTGATGCCACCTTGTAAGCAGCACTTAATTATGGAGAATAGGAAAAAGCAAAACTGAAATAAGAGGATATATATATATACACACATACACATACACTTTTCACAATCTCTTTTCTGATTCCCTGTCAACCAGGACCACAGATTTCATTTTATTTGTAGAGTGTATGAAAAGATTTAATAGTCTCATGCATTTTATTTCACGTATACTGATTTCTATGTTCTGACTCATTTAAATAAAAAAAAAACAAGCCTTATTTACAAGGGCATATACTCTTCCTTGTTTGGCCAAAAGAAAATCTATAGCTAAATCTACTTAGAAAAACAATGCTGCTGAAACTCTTAACTTCAGATTGTATTAGGCTGAGATTTTCTAATGAGAAGGTTCTTTAAAATTAGAAGGGTTCCTGACGTTTGCAATGGATGTGGAAAGTACTTGAACTTTTACTCCAGGAAATGCTATACAGATTAAAATTTTAATCCATTAGCAGTTAATACTGAAAGCAGAAATGCTCTCTTAATCATTTTCCATTAATCTTTTGAAAGGTATTTTATTTACTCTTGACAAAAGTCTGAGTACCAAGATTCAGGAAACATATTCTCTACAGAACAGGTGTTTGTTTAATCCCAAGGGATGATCTTATAGGCTGATTTAGCCAGAGACAGCCTGGTGGCAGACTCTGATATAGAACGTGCATGATGTAATTGTAAGTACCATAATAAGTTTGTAGTAGTACAGGCTAAGCTTAAAATTGTACTCCTCCCTGCCGCTCCCACCCCACTGCCAAAAAAAGAAAAAATAAAAGGAACCCTAAAGAGTGTTCTATGTAGGCACATCTATATAAAAGCTGGGAAAGAAATCCCCATCCCTGCCATTTTCCTTTGTGTAGTTACTCAATTTAATTCAACTACCTCTATAGAAATGCATGTTAGAGAAGGGTATGTTCAGAAAGGTATTACTGTGGGTAGCTAACTTCTAGCTTTCAATAATGGCTGTTCTGAAGTCTGGATAACAAAAGGGGTGGTAGTCTACTTTTCTTCATTAATAATCAGATATCTCATTAAAGCCATTCAGAAAGGCAGAATAAATTGGGATGGGTAGGGTGAGAAGTGAGTGTGAAGAATATTCAACTAGCTTTTGTAATATGGTCCCCTTAACTAATTCTCCATTGGTATTTTTTGTTGTTGTTGTTTTTTTGATACTGAGTCTTGCTCCGTCACCCAGGTTGGAGTGCAATGGCATAATCTTGACTCACTGCAACCTCTGCCTCCCTGGTTCAAGTGATTCTCCTGTTTCAGCCTCACGAGTAGCTGGGATTACAGATATGCACTGCTGCGCCCAGCTGATTTTTTTTTTTCTATTTTTAGTAGACGGGATTTCACTGTGTTGGCAAGGCTGGTCTCAAACTTCCGACCTCAGGAGATCCACCCACCTCAGCCTCCTAAAGTGTTGGGATTACAGGCGTGAGCCACCACGCCTGGCCTTGATATTATTTTATCCACAGGGTTTGTCAAAGGGTATCCTCTTTGGCTTGCCAGGGCATAAGATAGTTTGACTGAGAAGACATTAGTGGGCTGTGTAATGACTAACTTTGTACCCCTTTCTCAATTCGGAACATCAGAGATATCACAGCAAATGGTAGATCTTTACAGTGACGCAGTTAGGAGTTTGTTAACTGCCTTTTGGAAGTCAGTGTAAGAATAAGTAGTGTTGATGGGTTCAGTACGAGTTGTTTCCTTAACTGTTTTAGTCAGCCAGCCACAGCAACACCCAGAAACACAAGAATTAGGGATCTGTTTTAGGTATTCAGGTATGGGAGTGGCTCTACTCAATGTTCGGCTTAGCTGTTTGGTGGCAAATTGCAGTGCTCCATTTAGAGTGGCATGATCTCTAGAGAGCCGGCTGGGACTTGTAAGAGGCTTTTGAAAAGGTGGGACTCCACAAGAGGCCAGAGGGGGCCATTCAGGAATTGGTTCCAGTTTGGGGACACAGTGGGAACAATGGGAGAGTCTTAGACCTATCTCTCGAAGTATATGGACTGGTGTGCTTGGATCCAAGAGTTTAGCATGATACAACCAGGAATTAGGATTTAAAGGTTTCCAAGTTGTGGAATATTTTAAAAGGCACTTAACCTGCCAGGCAAGACTCTCAAGAGGCGATAAGTTGGGTACCATGGAGTCCTCTTCTTCAGAGGAATCCCACTCTTCCCCAGAACTCTCATTTAGGTAGCTAATGTTTTCTTCTTCCTCACTTTCTGAATCTGACAAGTGGTCAGGAGAGGGATTTCTAGGACCCATCTGAATAAAACACAGTAAGGAACCAGAAAAAGGTAACAATCTAAAGCCAGCAGAACACTTACTAACACTGGCAAATAGAAATAAGAGATGAAAAATCCTTTCGCCAAGATTAATTTGTCTTTCAGTCCATTATGCACATAAAGTATGCTTGCGGCCCACACCACTGTGCTGTTCTTCAAGATTATGTTGTATATTCTTCACTTACAAAGAAGACATCTTAGTTTTCAGGACCAGTTCAGTGTGTAAAAGTATTTAGTCACTTACCAGTGGCACAGGTCAGAGTATCTCCTTCAAATCCTGGCTACCCAAGAATACGAGGGGTCCTCATCTAGGCAAGCTGATTTACTTAGCATAGTCCCAATTGGTAGTGGTACTGTGAAGAGACACTTTTTGTGCTGTTTTGCTGGCAGTGATATTATATCTACTTGACAACGAAAAGCAGCTCAGTAGTTGTCTTGGTTGTCCGCTGGCATAGCAACTTTTGTGCAGTGGAATGATGGGATGAGCTGTCAAGAACATCTGGTGTAAGAGGATCCGATGCTTTCCACAGGTGACGTAAATGCCCTTGGAAACTGGTGATTTAGCTGTTGGACTATCTGGAAAGGTAGCCTTAACCTGTGAATGAGAAGACTAGAGACATGACATTAAAGCCTGAAAGCACTGGATAACATTATTGCCTACCTAACCTCAGGATATCTAAAATCAGAACAAACGCTGCACAAGAAGTCTTACAGACTCTTCCCTCTCTATCTCATAGGCTTAGGCCAATTTACTTGTTGGTAATAGCTCTTACAATCACAATATTGGGGAGGAAAGTCTGGGGCCATTTTAATTCTTTGTTGGTACAAAACTGGGCCAGTTTGTATGCAGTTTTAGCCCAGAAAATTACTTTTGCAAAAGCTGATCCCTTATGTCCCAAACTCCAAATAGAGAGCTCTAAAAGGTATTTATTTATTTTTATTTTATTTTTTTTTTACCTTCAGAGGTGCTTGTTGGAATTAGTTTTAGGGGGCCTGTCCTGGTGGTAGAGCTGCTAGATGTTAGGACTCTTGCTGGGACCTCAGAAGTTGTGATCCTATGACCAATTCTATATAAGCTGTTCCACAAAAAAGACAAAAGCATGAAAACTGACCAGTTCCTTTTATAAAGATAACAAAAATAAATTCCAAACTTAGAGATGAACCAAACAAGAAAAGTATAGGCTCGCTTCACTTGCAAAATCCTAAATATCACTTAACAGAATCCAACAGTACATTAAAAAGAATATTATCAAATACAGCCTATCCCAGGAAAGTAAGAATAGCTCAAATTATAAAAAATGTACAAATTACCAGAACTAAAAGAAAAAAAGAGATCATTATATTGAATGTGGATAACCTTTGTTAGTTCCTGACCAACATGTATTTATGCTTTAAAAGACAAAACAAAACATTTTTACTAAACTGGAAGGAGAATGTAACTTTCTGAACTTGGTAAAGGTTATCTACCAAAATCTTTAAGCAAACATTATCCTGAATAAGATGAGATACATTTCCTTTAAAAGTGAAGTCAGGGGCAGGGCACAGTGGCTCATGCTTGTAATCCTAGCATTTTGGGAGGCCAAGGGTGGAGGACCACTTGAGGTCAGGAGTTCAAGACCAGCCTGGGCAACATAGCAAGACCCTGTCTCTACAAAAAAATTTAGCCAGGTATGGTGGTGTGTGCCTTTAGTTCTAGCTACTTGGGAGGCTGAGGCAGGAGGATTGCTTGAGCCCAGGAGTTGGAGGCTGCGTGGTGAGCTATCATCTCACTGCTGTACTCCAGTCTGGGTGACAGAATGAGACTCTTCTCAACAACAACAACAACAACAAAGTGAAATTAGCTAAAGATGACCATGTTGACTGAGACTGATACTGTCTGACACAGGACGGAAAGTCCTAATCAATGTTTTTCTTTTTGGAAAAAGATACGTTAAGAATTGGAAGAGATAAAACTATTAGTTTACAGATGATTATCATCTAATTAAAAAAAAACAAACTATTAGAGTTCAACAAGTTTCCTGATCTGAGATTAACCTATGAATATCCATTAATTTAATTACTTATATAACACTTATTATTTGCCATGTACTACTCTAGTAACTGCACAAATGTTAACTATTTTAAAATTCTTCTAACAACCGTAAAAGGTGGTACTTTTATTGTCCCCATCTTACCTGTGGATTAAGTTACGTGACCAAAGTCATTCATCTAGTAAGTCACAGGGCCAGTGTTTCAACTCAGGCACTGTTAACTTTTATACTAGCAATACTAACTAGACCATAAAGACATTTCACAGAAGGAAAAACAAACAAAAACCTAATCCTATAAATAACCTAGGAACTAATCATTAATATATAAGATCTAATAAACAATATAGAAGATAATTTAAAATACAGACATTCCATGCTCTTGGATGGAACAAATATCATAAAGATATCAACTTTCTCCCTATTTATTTATACAATTCCAATCAAAATTTTAAGGAACTCTATATAAAGGTTATATAGAAAGAATAAAATTCCACATATAGCCAAATGAACTGTTTAAACAGAAGAGTAAGGGAGTTCCTATTCTTCAAGGTATGTACTATGACTAACGTCACAGAAATTAAAATAGGGTAGCATTAGTGTAAGAACAGACAATAGTCCAAAAGAGCAGAAAAGAGCTTAGAAACAGAGCTATATATAATTTGGGAATGTAATATAAAATAAGGTTGGTACATAAACTAAGGGTGAATGGATATGTTTAGTATATAATATTGGTACAACTGGCTCACTATATTAAAAAAAGTAAAACTATTGGAACAAGAATTAACAAAAAATTAAGAACAAGGTTAAGAAAAAAAAAGAAAAGCAAAACCATGTAATACCTATACATATAATGACATGTATAAGGGAGGATTCATGATGGATTAAAGATCTAAATGGGGATGGTAAAACCATACAGTTAGTTAAATATAATACAGAATATCTTTGTGAAATGAGGCCAGGGAAAGACTTCTTAAACAAAAAAGCATAAAGCACTAGACCAAAAAATGAATTTAATCACATCACAATTAATCATTTCTGGACTGAACTAAAGATACCAAGGACAAAGTTAAATCAATTTTTAAGAAAGATAGCAACTTCAATAAAGAAATGAACAAAGGACAAAGACATCCAAATTATAGAAGAGAAAATCCCAAAGCATGAACAGTATGATCACATTATGCTATCAGTTTGGTAGAATAAGAAAGCTGGATAATGCCAAGTGTCAGTGAATTATTTTTTGGAACTGGCACTGCTGGTGGGATTGCAGAGTGGAGTAACTGTTCCTAACAGGCTGGCAGCATTACTTAGGCAAACTATTTGCACATCTCATGATCTAGCAATCCTACTTTTGGGCATAGATAGCAAAGAAATTCCCATAAGAACATGTATGAAGATATACCCTGAAGCTACATCTGTGATGACAGGAATTAGAAGCATTCCAGGTTCCTATCCCTAGAGAAGCGGACTGGTAAAATGTGGTAGAAACACATTCCAAGTATATATAGCAACATGGGTGGCCTTTAAAGGCATAGCTTTACGAGAAAAGAAACAGTATCAATGTGTCGTTTATGCTACTCTGTACGGGCCATTTCCAAAATTAAAGTCAGTGGACATTTTCATTATCGAATACACTGAGTTGTGCTAATAAGGTCATATGGTATGGCTTCAGGTCAGCAATTTTCCTCTAATGAGTATTTCTCTGGCTTTCACACACTCCTAGCACAGTGTCTGGCATATATGAGTGGCTCAGTAAATGTATCTGAAACAATCAGAGAATGGCAAAGGCTTGCAGTAAGTAACTACCACAAGCAAGTTCTATTTTACTCCAGGGAGAGAACAGTTCCCAAGTTATAGCTTGGTGATTTGGTAATGTTAGACAAAGACAAATGAGATAATTTTTTAAGGCAGGATCAACATATATGATGCTACTACAGCAATATAAAGGAAACTGCTTATACCTTTAAGAAGAAACAATGTAATACTTCGTAGTTTATAATACTATAATACTGTGCTAGGAGTGTGTGAAAGCCAGAGAAATACTCATTAGAGGAAAATTGCTGACCTGAAGCCATACCATATGACCTTATTAGCACAACTCAGTCTTTATTAACTGAGACACGAGAAGCTGTTGGCTTTTAATTGCGCTGTCCTCTAATATTTTTGCTATTTTCACTTCAACCAGATTGCATCTGTGAGATTACTAATTGGCTATACTTCAGTTATTATGTTACTCAGAAAATTTTTAAAAAGGCTCTTACTTTCCCATAATTGTTTTTGTTCTGTTTCACAGTACAGAAGTCAGGAAACATGTAAGCTTTAAGGCAGTATACTATGTTGTTTAAATTTAATCTAGCATCTTTAAAAAAATATTTTCAGATTATAATATCAAAAAATACTGAACCCCTCCCCCCATGGCTTTAACCATTGGAAAAAAAAAAACAACAAAAACAAACCTAACCAAAATATAGTTAGGCTGACCTCTGGTGGCCAGATGTCTCATTCTTCTGTAACTGACAAAATGGTGTGATGTCTCTGTTGGTGAGACAGCCAAGTTGAATACAATAAAGAAATACTAGCTGGCTCACGCCTGTAATTCCAACACTTTGGGAGGCAAAGGCGGGTGGATCACCTGAGGTCAGGAGTTCGAGACCAGCCTGGCCAACATGGAGAAACCCATCTCTATTTAAAATACAAAAAAGTAGCCAGGCGTGGTGGTGAACGCCTGTAACCCAGCTACTTGGGAGACTGAGGCAGGAGAATTACTTGAACCTGGGGAGGCAGAGGTTGCAGTGAGCCAAGATTGCGCCATTGCACTCCAGCCTGGGCGACAGAGCAAGACTCTGTCTCAAAATAAAAATAAATATTAGAAACGTCACAAAGCAAAATTATGGGCAACACAAATGTTACCACATTCTTATCTTAACTAGCAGTTGAATATCTACAAAGTTTGAGGAATTAAGCAGGAGAATGGATAAGGTATGGCATATTAATATAATGGAGTACTATAGCAACCTGTCTGTGTCGCAGTTTCCTCATCTTAAAAGAAGATCAAAGTTATCCTACAGGGTTTGTGAGCAATAAACGAAGTGCTTAGAATTATAAAGGTCAATCACGTGCAAGTTACTATTATTAATATATCAATATGAACCACAGCAATATTGATTGAAAAAAGCCAGAGGCACATATAATTATTCATTTAATGGTTAAAACATGCAAAATAGTACAATATCCTCATTCAGGGATTTATTTAGTCATTAACATAAAAAAAGTGTCATTAATATATAAAAATCTGCAAGGTAAAAGTTAACAGTAAATTCAGAAAATCCATTACTTCTTCGGAGTGAAGGTAATTCAAAAGGAGAAAGATGTACAGGTGGCTTTAGTAATGTTCTATTTCTTCAGCTGGCAGTAGGTTACTGAGGTGTAGGAGAGGGAAAAACGGCTTCCCTCCATCCTCCTAGGTTCTTTGGCTGGGTTACAAATTAACTTGACATAGACATTAACAAGAAAAAAAACCCGTACTTAACCACACATGCAGAGGAGTCCCACCATGGTCAGATGATTGAAGATTATACAGCATCCTACGCTACTCAAGAAATGGTGGTTTGCGGCTTTCTGGGGGATGGTTGGCCACAAAGTTGTGGAAAGGTGAGGGGAGGAAATAAACGGTGAATACAAGTTGTCTTGGTATGCAGATAAAATCTCCCAGGTAACAAAAATTATCGCAGAGCTGCCCTCTTCGTGATACAGATGCTTTACTGATGTATATTTCCTCTGTAGATGTAAATTTCTTTTACAACAGGACAGATTTTCAGAGTGACTCCTGTGTCTGCATTTTATCAGAATACCAGCTCAAAATATACCCTAGAAGTATATTGTAGGGTGGCATATTCTGTTCTCCTACAGTCTTATTTTTGGATGGTGCATCCTGAGATCCAACAGAAATTCTGCCTGATATAATTTCATTTAAAATTTAAAAACCTAGTTTCTACTCTTCTTTATTTTAACCACTACCCGAAAGACCTTTCCATTCTCTTGAGTTCTCCCTTAATACACTGTCCTTATGCCCGCTTGTAAACAGGGCCTCGACAGCTGCATATCTAGAAAAGGCAATAGCTAAGTTAGCCCGCACCCCCTTCGCAGCGATCCCCAGGCCGCCTGCACGCCCTGCGGAACCTCGCAGTCGGCTTCACCAGGGCAGGGACTAAGGCCGTCAAAAGACCGCATCCGTCTCCACTAACCTTGGGTCGCCCCGCTCAGCGGACCCAGCAGCGTCTCCCTTCTCAGAGGCGGCCTGGCCTCCGGAACACGCTACGAACTTTCCTTTGTCGCCGTCTCTCGAAACGGAGCCCTCGTGTGGGGATCCCCCGCCCTTTGGCCACAAGGGAGGTTGTTATCTTCGGCAGATCTCCCGTTTTCACCCTTGGAGGATCGCCTCTTCTTTCTCGCCTCACGCTCAACCGCACTACCCAGCTAGGCCTAACACTAACAACCCTTCCCCTCCCGCGGCTAGGCCACTCCACTCCGCTCCCGCGCCGACACTACTTCCGGCCGAGTCAAGGTCCCTCCCCCTTAAAAACGCCACTTCCCTCTGTGAAAACTGTTGGACAAGGTTGAACCTAGACGCATGCGTCCAGAGCGCAGGGTGTGAGATGGGTGGACCCATCGCTTCCCGCTCTCTCCTCCCAGAGTGCTTGCGGCAGTCTCGCGGGATTTTCCCCTCTCGCGACAATTATTTGAACGTTCGGGCGGTAAAGACTCTTGGGGCTGTCAGAGAAGACTCTGCGGAGAGCTCTGCCTCTGGGTTGGCGGGCGGGCAGGCTGTAGCCAAGCACGGGCAGGACTCGTCCCGGCAGGGTTCCAGAGCCATGGGAGCGGAAAAGAGGCTGCTGTCGATTAAGGAGGCCTTTCGGCTGGCGCAGCATCCGCACCAGAACCAGGCGAAGCTGGTGGTGGCGCTGAGCCGCACCTACCGCACGGTAAGCGCGCCCGGCCCTGGCCGCCGCCCCTCGCCCGCCCCGGCCCACCCTCCCTCAGGGGCCCTCCGTGGCCCTCGGGCTCGGCGCACCGTGACTCTAGCCTTGTTCACCTTCGCGACTCACTTCATAGGGACCACCTGAGGTTCGGAGAAGTCAGGGATTTACCCGAGGTCGCCTGCACCCGGGCCAGAAAGACTCGGAAGTCTGGGCGTCGTTCACACGGGCCCCGCCTTGGCTTTTCTGAGCCGACACCCCCAGCCTCTGGGCGGCGTGGACCGTTATTCCTTAATCTGATTGTGAACGTGGAGACAAGCATTTACGACCACCGAGGCTATCAGACATCAAATATTGAACCGCAGAGTGGATCCTGAATGCGGGGGTTCGGTGGTCGTTGCCCCTGGGGTCATCGTTCCCCGCCGACCGTCAAATGATTCTACCCTCGTCCCACGGTTACATTGAATCCAATCACCAAATACCAAATTAATCGTTAGGGCCTGGCCATTCTTATTTATGTACATTACTATTTGTTTGTTTTGAGTGGAACCTTGAGAAGACTAGAACAGTTAATTTGGGGAAGATGAATTATCTTGAGGTCCAAGAAAAATTGTAAGTAAACATCGCAGGGCTTTGAGGATATGAGATAGGATGTGCAAGTTATCTCATAAAGAAGCTGCTGGTGATAGGAAGACCTGAATATGAGAAATATAAAAGGCAGTATTGATTTGGGGTTGTTGATGAAGAAGCGTATTTGTAATGTACTGGTACTAAAGGCTTATTAAGAATTCAAAGATATTGAAAAAAACAATCAAAGAAATCTTTTTACTGTCAAAAGTCAAGCTCGTGTACTGCCATTATAGCCTGGAGAGAAATTCATGCAAGTTGATTGCCCTTTTGCTGGTTTGGATAATTAAGAGTTTACTAAATAAAGATTTTAATTTGTCTGCATTATTATGGCTAGTGCTTTCAGAAGTCTTAGGGTGATGTTGGGAATAAAGGATTTCTGTCGGTGCAGTTTATGAAGGGTTTCTTTTGTCTTTCAGATGGATGATAAAACAGTTTTTCATGAGGAGTTCATTCATTACCTTAAATATGTTATGGTGGTCTATAAACGTGAACCAGCTGTGGAGAGGGTAATAGAATTTGCAGCAAAGTTTGTTACCTCATTTCACCAATCGGATATGGAAGAAGATGAGGAAGAGGAAGATGGTGGCCTTTTAAATTATTTGTTTACTTTTCTCTTAAAGGTAGTATGAAAATGATAGCTTTGGGGAGGGATTTTAGAAAATTTTGCCACTTAGAGTCGTGGGAGTTTGTATGTTTCTGACAATGAAATATCTAGTGATTGAAAAAATCTGAATGAGTCTACCTTTTATGGGAAATATTAGAATTATCATTATGATTAAAAAGTGGACTTCAACTCCAACATTAAATTTTTAATGACCTCTTTAAACCAGTTCTATGTTTATTTTAAATGAGTTCTGTATTTTAGAAGCTGCTACACAGAGGACTATGTAACTTAGCAAAGACTTCTTTCAGACTGTTTATTTTGAGACTGTATAAAATATATATTTGCTATACATATGGACCAAGGTAGCATTATAAGTTCTCTTCAGGAAATGAATTGTTGTTGTAACTTCTTGCATTCCGAATATATAGAGTTCAGATAATATTATTTGGGAGTGGTATGTGACTATGAATAAGTTTTGATTTGTTTCTGTTTTAGTCTCATGAAGCAAACAGCAATGCAGTGAGATTTAGAGTGTGCCAGCTCATAAACAAGCTTTTGGGAAGTATGCCAGAAAATGCTCAGATTGATGATGATGTGTTTGATAAAATTAATAAAGCCATGCTTATTAGATTGAAAGATAAGATTCCAAATGTGAGAATACAGGCAGTTCTGGCGCTTTCACGACTTCAGGATCCCAAGGATGAGGAATGCCCAGTGGTTAATGGTGTGTGTAGTTTCCTAAATCTTTTTCAGATTTGTTGATTTTGTTAAATTCTCAGTATTTGAAACTTTTTATTATGGTCTATACATATGAAGAGTATCGGTAATTAATATATGATTCAGATAAAAAAAAAAACACCTAAGTAGCAACCACCCAGCTTAAAAAAAATAATCGGTACTTGCATCCTATCCCAGCTGCATCCCTGTCCCTCAGAAGTAACTATTATCCTCAGTTTTGGGTTAATTAGTCTCTTGCTTAAATTAAAAAAAAAATTTTTACATAAATCACATATGTCTATCTTAATGTTTTCCTATCATTTTGTGTAAATCATGCTGTATGTATATATTTAGCAGCCAGTTATATTTCTATATAATACCTGTTACTGTGTTTTGCCCATTTTTTCATTGGGTTTTTAATTTAAAATACTATTTTAAAAAATTCATTTGTGTTCTTTATATATTTTGAAAAGAAATCCTTGGGTCATATGAATTGTATATCTCTTTCTGCTTTAGGTGGCTCATTGGGGTATCATTGTTTCACTCCCTTTGGGGTATCTTTTTTTTTGAACAGAAATTCTTATGTCAAAAATATAAATCTCTGCCATTATGATTTGTATTTTTTAAATCTCTTTTTAAAGGAGTTTTTCTTACCTCTGGGGTCATAAAGATAGTTGTATTTCATTTTTCTTATATATGCCTAGGTATGTTTTAGGCACTCTTCTGTCCTCTTTGTCCCTGTTACCAGTTTTATAATCACTGGTATATTTATCACTATAGTAGTTGGTATTTTTTTTGGTGTTAAAATATACCCATAATAATATTGTGTAAAACATAGATATTTGTTTTTTTTTTTTTTTGAAAAGGGAGCTGCTTTATTTTTTTTTTTAATTTTTTTTTTTTTTATTATTATACTTTAAGTTCTAGGGTACATGTGCATAACGTGCAGGTTTGTTACGTATGTATACTTGTGCCATGTTGGTGTGCTGCACCCATCAACTAAACATAGATATTTGATAGTCAACATGTACTTAATAATTGAGTGGGAAAGATGTGAGAAGTACAGATAAATATATTTAAATATAAGAAATGAGTTTGTTTCAATGAATAAAACCAAAAAATATTTCCTTTTAGGTCTCATTAAAAAACCAAAATAATGAGCCCTTATAAAGCCCTATCAGTTTAAAATAAACTGCTATATTAAGCTTTCTCTTAAATACTGAGGAGTAGCACAGACATAATCTTTATGATTAATTTACCATGACTGTTCGGGCTATTTGCTTTCACTTTTGGCCTTAGAGCCAGTCCGTTGACTAATTCCCCCTTGTGTCTTTAGAAGGGAAGTTGGTGACCTGTGCAGCAGTGACTCAGGCCTGTAATCTCAGCACTTTGGCTCCAACCTGGGCAACATAGCGAGAAGGAAGTTGGTGGGAAAAAAACTTAATGTGTAAGGCTAAAAAAAGGACATTATTTCTATTATAGATGGGTTCTCACTCAGGCCGGATAGAAGAGGTGTGACCTCAAACTCCTGGGCTTAAGTGATCCTTCCACCTCAGCCCCTTAAGTAACTGGAATCGCCACTACTATGCCTAGCTAATTTTTTATTTCAAAATTATTTTGTAGAGACAGGGGTCTTGCTATATTGCCCAGGCTGGTCTTGAACTCTTGGCTTCAAGCTCTTCACCTACCTTGGCCTCCCAAGTGCTGGTTATAGGCGTTAGCCATCGTGCCCAGCCTATCTTTATCATATTAAAGGCATTTTAAAATATCAAAATGTGTGTTATTTTATGACTATAGTTAAATAAATAATTTCTTCAGTACCAAAATGTATTGCTTTATTTTTAGCATATGCTACTTTGATTGAAAATGATTCAAATCCAGAAGTTAGACGGGCAGTGTTATCATGTATTGCACCATCAGCAAAGACTTTGCCAAAAATTGTAGGGCGCACCAAGGATGTGAAAGAGGCTGTCAGAAAGCTGGCTTATCAGGTAAATAAGTTCAGTGTTTTGTGTTGGCATATTCTTAAGGGACAAGAAGCCATTTTTTTAAAGTGCCTTTGAAAAATACTTGGCATGTAATAATTTCTTCAATTGAGGTTTTATGGAGAACACAGGTGATTTAGGTAGAATCTTACTGTATTAAGTGTGTTACCAGGTATTAATGTTGGAGATCCTGGGTAATTTTCTAAGATGGTGATGTTCTTATGAAATCTGTAAATTGTGTTGAGGTTAATGACCATCTTTATAAATTATTTTTAAGGTTTTAGCTGAAAAGGTTCATATGAGAGCTATGTCCATTGCTCAGAGAGTAATGCTCCTTCAACAAGGTCTTAATGACAGATCAGGTAAGATAAACAACTTTATATATACAAAACTTTAGTAGATTTTGAAGTTAGACTTAACAAGGTTTAGGAAAAAAGTGTCAAATCAGGTCAAGTAAGCCTGCCAGTCCCATGAACCTGGTGAAATTTATGTTGATGTATTATATAGAAAACATAGGGCTAAAGATCTTGATATGTATATATTTTTGAGACGGAGTCTCGCTCTATCACTCAGACGAGTGCAATGGCTCCATCTTGGCTCACTGCAATGTCTGCCTTCTGGTTTCAAGTGGTTCTCCTGCCTCAGCCTCCTGAGCAGGTGGGATTACAGGTGCACATCACCATGCCTGGTTAATTTTT